TTAAGTGTATACAGAGTATTTCGAGTGTTTTTTCCGATGTGTTCTTCTTTCTCTCCAACTTATACTCTATTTTAGCAGTTATTTGAGAGAAATCCGCCCCTTCCATGGTGCAACAAGCACTAGGCTATCATGAAGGAAGCACTTACATGATGGAATGTACACTTGCTTGGTGGGAGGAGCACTTGCACCATTGTGGGAGGTGCACTAGGCTGCTTATTGCTTAGTGTTGCAACACAATATACGGATTGGAAAACATCCATTACAAATACGGATTATATCACATTAATATTCACTATTAACAAATAAATTTGGTCCAAAAAATTAATCAATCGATCGATCATTTGACCAAATCCAAATCCAAATCCAAATCCAAATTCCATTTCCCATTCACTCTAATTTTAAGACTATTTCATCTTAAAAAAAAACTCAACACACACACACACATACACACACACACACACACACATATATATATATATGTATATATATATATATATATATATATATANGGGATATGAAAGAAGGGTAGAACATCCTCAATGTCTTGTAGCCTCTCGTTCACAAATGTGGTGCATAATGCATCCGTGAGAAAAAGTCTACTAGACACAACTTGTAGACTTCGTAGGACATACCTACTCTGATACCAATTTTGTTACGCTCCAAATATGGGGAGGCAAAATCGGCACCTAGTGCCTTACTTGATCAAGCGTACCAACCTGAATTGAGGGGCTATGACCATACAATGTTGTACTTTGCCCGACAAGGCCACAATATAGGATAATTTGTCAAACAAAATATTAAACATAATGAAGATTAGCTCCAACTGAACATATGTATAAATTGGGTTGGTAAGACCATCATAACTTCTATAGCTGGCACCAAAAGAATATACATATAAGGAATACAAGGCCAACATGCTGCACTAACTGACAGAATAAGTCTATATGCCTCTACTGATAGTTGTACTATGTCGGGATAGGTATATATATATATATACACACACACACACATACTCATTTCAGGGACCATCATTGAAATTTATATCCGCAATGCACAAAGCTTTACAAAGTGTACCCGCTTGAATTTAAAGTAGTTCAATCTCTTCAATGCAACTTTAGAAATCAAATATGAGGTTTTCCTATCTTTCAATTGCAATTTTGGAAATTCAAATCTTAAGTAGTTCAAGTTCTTCAAAGCAACTTCAGATTTCGAATCTGAAGACGAAATCTGAAGTTCTTCTATCTTTTAATTGCAACTTCAGAAATTCGAATCTTAAGTAGTTCAATTTTTCAATACAACTTCAGATTCAAAATCTAAAATCTTAAGTAGTTCAATTATTCAATACAACTTCAGATTCAAAATGTAAAGTTCTGAAATATAAACTTGTTCTTCGAATTTTAACAATCCAAGACACGATTCAACACCCAAATCTACTTCAAATGAGTTTAAATTTAAAATATAACTTTCAGACAACATAAAGAATAAATTTCAATCATCAAATTGTTAAAACAATAACAAACAAAATCCATTTTGCAACTAAGAGGAAAAAAAACCCTAAATACAAAGAAGAAGAAAATAGCAGTGAAGAAGAAAAGGAAAATGTATGTATACGAAGTTACTACAAAATGGGATATCAGTTAAAAAATTTATAAAGAAATATGTACAAATTCAATTAGTTGCCCAAAACTGAGCCACATGAATTGCACGGGGCACCTTATTTGGTCGCCCCCATTTAACCTATACCCATTTTTTTAAAAGTTTTAACTTGTACCCACTTTTTAAACAACTTCAGACTCCTTTCTCCTCCTCATTCGTTTTCTTCTTCTTCTTCTTTTTCTTCTTCTTCTTCTTCTTTCTGCTGCTGTTGGTGCTGCTATGAAATTTCAGTTTATAGGATGATTGCCATAAGTATGTTTATCAGATTATTTAAAAATAAATTATAAATAAGTACGTAAGTTAGTAGACAATAATTTATGAATATTTCCACGTAATTCTGTTCTTTTCACGTTTATTGTTTTCAAAATTTATGATTTAGATACCGTTGACAATCTAATTATTTTATAGTAGTAATACACTATGAAAGAATAAGGTGATTATTTATCTAATATATTAGAAAGCATTTTCAAAACCTTCAGCTTATATAGTGCTGAAGTTTTTACAAATGAAATTGCATTCATTTACACTGACTCATGACCAGATGGAGTTATATACACGTATATATGTAAATATATGTATATAGGATACGAAAAAAGGTTATGGTGTTATATACGCACCGGCACCTGATCAGCTGGTATACGTTGATGATTTGCCCACAATGGCTGAGATGATACGATGGGATGCCCTTAGAGGCTTGATGATGTTATGAACATATATACCCATGCATGGTATGACATTATAAAAATGAAATGATTCACAAAGCTATGCAAACGTACATGTCGAGTCTTTTACTCCATGTTTCTCTCATGTCTATTATTTACTGATTTTCATTCCTTACATACTTGGTACATTATTTGTACCGACGTCCCTTTTGCCTAGGGACGCTGCGTTTCATACCCGCAGGTCCCGATAGATAGGTCGAGAGCCCTCTAGGTAGGCTATCAGCTAAGCGGAAGATGTTGGTGCGCTCCATTTGCTTCGGAATAGCTGGTTTGGTTAGTATGATTTAGACGTGTATTGTTTGGTATGACGTGACTCTGTCCCGACTTTTATGAAAATTACGTATTCTTATAGGCTTGTAGATAGATGTCATGTACGTAAAAGATTGTATGGCCTTGTCGGCCTATATTCAGTGTACGAGTGATTATTTTGGCCTTATAGGCCAGTATGTCTTATGTATACGTTGGTATTACATGTTGTATTCCACTTATCTCACGACAGCCTTCCGGTTCAGTTATCTATAATAGTACGACATGAAAGGATACATTATGTTGGTACTCGGTTGAATAAGGTACTGGGTGCCCGTTGCATCCCATCGGTTTGGGTCGTCACACTCTCCCCAAAAAGTTGCACGGGCACCCTGTTTGGTCGCCCCCATTTAACCTATACCCACTTTTTAAAAAAGTTTTAACTTGTACCCACTGTTGAAAAAACTTCAGGCCTCTTTCTCCTCCTTCTTCGTTTTATGAATACTGAAGATTGAGATATTGTTATGTGTTCTAGCCTGGTGATTCATATATATCTGCTTGTCCCATTATGCGTGTGTGTGTGTGTGTATGTGTGTGTGTGAGAGAGAGAGAGATAGAGATAAAGATAGAGAGATAGAGAACAACTTATATTTGCTATTTAGCTCTTTACAACTAGGAATTAGCTTTTGGACCGTCCAGTTCGGAAATTCTAATTTTAATTGTTGTTGAAACATGAAAGCACGACTTGATTCCCTGTGCATTAGGTGAAGATGTTACTTTTACTAATGGTCTTATTTTATAGGAGTATTGCTTTTCAAATTTCCCGATAATTCCATTATTCTAAGGCTAAAATATACAATAAATAGTAGTTAGCAACTGGATCTTAATGACAACTTGTCATTGTTGTTTTAGAACTTCAGCTCTAACAATGTTGAAGTTCAACAAATATAAACAAAAACTCCAGCTCTTAGAATGCTGAAGTTCAGCAAATACAAAACAAATTTCAGCCCTGAAGTTCATCACAAACATAACAAAACTTCAGCTAAAACATGCTGAAGTTCAGCAAATACAGAACAAAACTTCAGCTAAAACATGCTGAAGTTTAGCAAATACAGAATAAAACTTTAGCTACTGGAATGCTTAAGTTCAGCAATTATAAACAAAAACTTCAGCCAACACATGTTGTTGTTTTATTGAACTGAAGTTTGTCATTTGCACTATGAACTGAAGTTTGTGTGATTGTCTTTGCAAGTCAGACCAAAATTCATGCAAAAATATTTGAAGTTTTGCTACACTTCAAGCAAAATTTTTTGCTACTTCAGGCCCGTATGCCTGAAGTTACGCGAAAAGTGGGTATACTTGCAATATTTTTTATAAAGCGGATATAAGTTAAAACGTGACCCAAAAAGCTGATATAGATGAAAATGGCCCGCCTCTCCCTCCACTAGGCCCAAACGAAATCCTCCACTTTAGCCCAATAAATGGACCATCGAGCTCTCAGCCGCGGACCACTTTGGAATCTCACCCTGCACGGCCAAGAATACTGATACAAATTCATAATTTTTGGGTGCTTCTTTTACTTTTTAATCTCCACTGTTCATCGCTTTCCCCGAGAAGAAAAACCTTAGACACTATTCTTTGCATCTCTTTTTATTTTCGGTCTTAGCCGAAATCTGTTTAATCTCGCCAAGTATATCTGAAGCCTAAAAGTCCCCGTTCACTGCCCCACAAAGGTCTGTGACCTTTTTCTTTAGCTCTTTTGAATGTGTTTGTGATTTGGTTGCTATTCTTGGTGTGCTGTTAGTTTCTTTGGTTGTGTTCATTAGATATCATATCTTTGGCAAATTTAATTTTGTGTCTCGCATGTCGTTTGAACAATGTTTTGGAATTTCTTTTATAAAAAACATGACTACGATAGTGTGTAGTTTCTTTCATCCCATTCGACGACGTGGGTTAATAATTCTAGACTTCAGTTTTTCCTGTTAAGAAGATAGGCTCTATGAATTTCAGCATGGCTTTTTCAATACACTTAATGTTTAGGCTCTCACTGAAGATGCTAAGTTAAAAATAAGAACTTGCTCGCCTCTTTCAATTAATTTTTGTTTCATTAAAAATGTGTGTATGTGTTTATGTGTTCCTTGTTCTTTATTGCCTTTTTTGCTTCAAACGTTATTTGTATTAGCTGAATTAGCAAGAAGAGTACTAGTCCTTTTTGGGGGTTAGGTATTGCGTATGGGACATTTAAACTTTTGAAGATAGGAAAACCATGGCTTTGTTTACTATGATATGAAAAAACTTGTTTTTTTTTTCTTCGTAATGACACTTTTGTGCTGACTATTCAATTGTTATTTCTTTTGAAAAGCTTAGTTTTTCTCCCTTTTAAATGAATCCTAGCTGTTGAATTAATAGACTTAAAAGTCCTGGAGGGTAGGAGTAATAACTTGGAGATGTCAAGTTCACATCTTTAGTTACAACACTCTTGTGGGTAGGTCTAGACTTGCACTTGTGTTTGTGGGAGGTAGTAGGCTACTTGGTGGACTAGTTGAGCTAGGTGCTCAGAGGTGGATCGTTGATACTTAAGGGTAAGTTCTACAAGGTAGTGGTTAGAGCGACTAAGTTCTATGGGGCATAGTGCGGGCCAGTCAAGAACTCCCATGTCCGGCAGATGAAATGAGAATGTTGAGATGGATGTGTGAGCATACTAGGTTAGATAGAATTAGGATTGAAGTTATTCGGGACAAGGTGAGAGTGACCCCTATGGAGGAAAAGAGGCGAGGCTGAGATGGTTCGCGCATGTTAAGAGGAGAAACACAAATGACCCAGTCAGGAGTTGTGAAAGGTTGGCCTTGGGGGGTAAGAGGAAGGGTAGAGGTAGGCCAAAGAAGTCTTGGGGAGAGGTGATCAGGCGGGACATGACACAGCTTGAGCTATCCGAGGACATGACCCTGGATAAGGGGGTTTGAAGGTTGAGGATTAGGTAGTCGTGTGTTTCCCTTTGTCTTCATTAGTTCGTTAGTGTTAGTGTTAGTATGGTATCCTTTTATCCTAAGTTTGCTATTTTCACATATCTTGTTCTGTTATTACCTGTCACCAGTACTTCCTTAGTTTGCTATCAGTCCTTATTTCATATTCTCTATTGCTATCAAACCTCGGATTTAGTTTCCCTAAATATATTGTCTTGCTATTTCTTGCTATCGGTACTTCTTTCATATTCTTTATTGCTATTTTCAATTTAGTTTTCTAAATATATTGTCTTGTTATGAATTGCTATTAGCACTTCTTCCATCTTCTTTAGCCGAGAATCTATCGGAAACAGTCTCTCTGTCCTTCCAGGGTAGGGGTAAGGCTGCGTACATTCTACCCTCCTCAGACCCCACTTGTGGGATTTTTACTGGATTGTTTGTTGAGTTCAACCTTTAAATTTCTTAGAACTGACTGAGTGTATTTTGAAATTGTGGGTTTCATAATTTAATATTTGTTAAAATTTTAATGGGTTTTCACATGTATATCTATGTTCTCTGTCAAAAAGTTGGGTTCAGTTGAATGCACCTCTGAAGGTGTTGCAAGCTGGACCGAACACCATCAAAATAAAAATTAATTGACTCAGATTTAAGTGCGTACTTGTATTTTAGTCATGTTTTCTGAAGTTAGCGTGACTTATTTTGTATTCCTAACATCCTTTAGGGTTTGTGTTGTATGCTTACGCCCCTCCATCTCTATGCAGCAACATTCTCAAGTTCTTTTTCTTGAAGAGAATCAAATTGTTGAAATGAGAAAAGACAAGGCAGCTGTTGCAAGGTCAAGTAAAATCAAATTTGCTGACTCTGATGAACATGAATCCTCGTCCGAATATGAGGAGGAAAAGGAGTTAGAGGAGGAGCTTGCTGATGTGACTTTTGAGGAATTGCAGAGAGCACGATCCGATGGGTCAGATACAGTGTATAGGAAGTTCAATTTGGAAGGAAAAACTGGCCGAGCAAACAAGAATAGGCCAGTAGAGATGAGTAGCAAGAAGCCAGTGAGCAGATTTAGGGAAATCATCCAAGTTCCTAAAAAAGTTACTCGTGATCCTCGCTTTGAGTCTTTATGCGGTCAGCTCAATGAAGAAGGGTTCAAGAAGAGATATAATTTTCTTTATGAGGATGATCTTCCAGCAGAAAAAGAGGATCTGAAGAAACAGATGAAGAAATCAAATGATCCAGAAGAGGTTATTGAACTGAAAAATCGCATTGCTTGGATTGACAAACAATTGAAATCAGCAGGAGTGAAGCACACTGAGAGAGAGATTCTTTCTGAGCACAAGAAGAAAGAGAGAGAAGCTGCTAAGCAAGGGAAACAACCTTATTACCTCAAAAAATCTGAAATTCGGAAGCGCAAACTTGTTGAGAAATATAAAGAACTCAAGGCATCTGGCAAACTGGAAGCATACATTGAGAAGAAAAGGCGCAAGAATGCTTCAAAAGACCACAGATACTTGCCATATCGTCGTCCTGGCGAGCCAGAGAACTAGTGAAATAACAGGCTTGCATGCTGTAGCAAAATTTGTTTACTTGGGTTTCTTCTCACAAGTATGTAGAGCCTTTGCTTGATAGGCATGACCATGGGCCCTCTCATTCAAGATACAGAGATACTGGGGAGAGGCTGCTTTGTTACTTCAATTCTTGTTAGGGTGCAGCCAGCTACGGCCTATATATGCCTTTGGTATAACTACCTTGGTGCTATACGAGAGGTATTGAGAGCCTGGACCGAAATCATTAATTTATTGTGGAGGATTTTTCTCCTCAATATTAGCGTCCCTGATGGTGCAGTTGGCAGTTCTTTTTTAGGTTGGATATTCTGAATTTGAGTAGCACTGGCAACAACAGTGCTCTCTGTAATTGAAGATGAAGTAGCAAATTTATCTCCTTGACTTGGCTCTTTTCATATTTTGTTATCTGGATTCAATTTCATATTGCATTAGTATTGGTTGCTTGTAGTTGTCCAAGACTCTTTTGTTACGTATCTGCAGGACTTTACCTGAGTCATTTGATAGAGAAGATAATGTAAGTATTCTTCTTAATGCTTGCTGATATAATGACATTCTGCAAGTCAAAGATGATTGTAAACTTTTTTTCTTCCCCAACAATTTCAATGTTAACCACCTTCCAATTTTTACGAATTATGAGTGAAGGCTAAGCACCCTTGCATCTTTGACATGACCTCTTTTGGGGAATTTTTTTTATTCTGGTTTGTAAACTAAATTGAGAATAGGAAATGAAAAACGAAATGTTGCTACTTGGTTCTACGACAAGATAATATTGAAAGATAATTAACAGTGGTGGTGGTGATATCAAATGAAGGAAACAACCATGTTAAGATATAGTTATGCAAAGCACAAAGTGCACTTCATGAATACATTTTGCGATTGCAGTTGGTTAATGGTTGGAGCACGTAATGTTATTTGTTTAAGTGGTCAAAACACCTATCCTTAGGAGAAGTTTTATTTTGTGTCTCGTACAACTGACACTAGTTGTATGAGGCTCCTTTTTGTCTCACAAATTTTTGGACCCCAATCTTACACTTCTGGGTCCACAGAAATCTGGGTCCACAAAATTGTGAGACAAAAAGGAGTCTCATACAGCTAGTGTCAGTTGTATGAGACACAAAATAAAATTTTCCCATCCTTAGGATTATACACCTATCTTATTTTGGGAACTTCCCCAAAATTCATAGTACCGTATTTTGGATTCGACCTCATTTTTGCACCATCTTAATCTGATGACCCAACCGATCGTTTTGAGCATTTGCACTTCGCTCAGTAGTTTGGGGGCACGAGTAGATCTGTATACTTTATAGTACTTGTGTGCAAAATTTGAGTTCATTCCGAGTTGATTTGATATGTTTTAACGCGAGTGTTTGGAAGTCGAAAGTTCATTAAGTTTGATTGGAGGTGCGTTTTTTCGTTTCGATGTTGTTATGCGTGGTTTGAGGCCTCGAGTAAGTCCGTGTTATATTATGGGACTTATTGGTATGTTCATACGGGGTCCCGAGGGGCTCGGAGAGTTTCAGATAGGTTTGAGTTGTGTTGCGCTCGTTTTTTTAATGTTTCGACGTCGTTTCTTCAAGCATAAATGGTACCACATTGAACTAATGAGTTCCGATTTCTATTTTGATTGAAGCACTAGATCCATAGCAAAAAGAATCATCGAATTTGGAAATCGTATGAAGATGTTACGGTACTAAGAATTGGGTTGCCAGATTTTTCAGATTAATTACGAAATTGCCATTGACTTCGTATTTAAAAATCTGCACTATTTTCAAATATTTAAACCAACATATCTCCTTCATTATAAGGTCAAATGGAGTGATTCAAAAGTCTAAATTGACTGAAATTTCACAAGGAATCCATTGGAGGCATCAAAAGCAAGTCTCGGAATTATTTTGCATGTAAAACGAGGCAGAACAATTGGGTAAAAATACTTAATATCAAAGGTTTGTAACATATTTTGAGTTGGGGAGCTCAGATTTGGACAATTTTTGGAGGCGATTTTCACCATATGAATTGGGGTAAGTGTTCTATACTCGATTTTGTTTATATTTCATGAATCCATATTCGTTTTTGGCATTTGATTGATGATTTCAAAGTGAAATTTGAGGGTTTTGTCTAAAATTTCATAAAGTGAAATTTTGAATTTTGAACATCGATTCAGAATCGGATTTGAGTGAAACTAGTTTTTTCGGACTCGTAATTGAATGAGTTATCGGATTTTGTGAGTTTTATCGGGTTCCGAGGTGCGGGCCCGGGTTTGACCTTTTGGTCGATTTTGGAATTTTCATTAAAAATTCGACTTTTATCGATTGGGTTTGTTTTCTTATACATTATTTGATGTATTTGAGTTTCTTTTGGCTATTTTCGAGCCGTTCGGAGGTTGGTATGCACGAGATGGAATTTTTTGAGCATCATTTGGCTTGCTGGGTATTGGATTTGGCTTGTTCGAGGTAAGTAACACTTCTAAACTTGGTGTTGAGGGTATGAAACCCCGAATTACGTGTTATGTGTTTTGTGTTGAGGTGACGCATATGCTAGGTGATGGGCGTGTGGGCATGCACTGTATGAATTGTGACTCCGCTATTTCAATGGTACTGTATAGTTACCCGATCTTACCATTAACCATAAAATTTCTACGTACTTGAGCTATTGAGCTGTGACCCATGTTAGAAACCTTGTCTAGGCTACATACTTATCCTGTTGGGACCCACTGAGGTCATTTCTGCTGTTAAGTTATCTACTTTCATTGCTTTTTATACTCAGTCATACGCATTCATACGCATATCATATCTCAATCTCTGTTACCATTTATTGACACATCATATCATCATTTTGGGCTAGTTTCATGGTATTGTGAGCCCAAGAGACTGGAGAGATTGATGATTGAGTTAGGTTGAGGGCCTGATTATGAGTGACATTTATGAGATCGGACTGCACACCACAGTGGTTATACAAATTTGTGATAACGCTTGGGCTGAAGGAGCCCCTCCGGAGTCTGCACATACCCCTAGTGAGCGCGATTGATTATATTGAGAGATGGATCTTCCTTGGACATGGATCTTGTACGGAAGCATTTATATACCTAGGGATGAATTGGATTTGGTCCTACTCAGTACTGAGTAATTGATGGTCAATTGATGTATATATTCCGGGATGGATCTTTCCTGGGTCGGACTGGCCATATACAGTACTAAGTGATTCAACATGATGAGTGGAAAGTGTGATAGAGTGAGATTGAGTACTCTAAGAGTGTGAGTACATGAGTTCATCTCTGAGATACATTACATTGATATGCACACATGACATAAAGGCATAGAGATGCATTTTCTCACACTGTACGGTATCACGTCATTCATGATTTCTCACACATATTGACATATGGGCATAGAGAGGTATTTTACACTTGTTATCTGGAAAGAAAATGAAACATATTATTTATTGTTGAAAGAATTTTTGGAAAAAATTACAGTTTTTAAACTTACTCGTATTTTCGACGATTTCGTTAAAGGATTTGGGTTTTCTCTGATATACTTGAAAAACTAAACTATTTTTCGAGAAACTATGAAAGAGCTGAGCATTTTACCTCTGAGTTACTTCTTTTATTACTTGCTTTACGTTGTTATGAACTGTTATTGGCTATTGGTGTTGGACCCGACCTTTGTTCCAGCTCGTCATTACTTTCAACCTAAGGTTGAGTTTGTTACTTATTGAGTACATGTGGTCGGTTATACTCATACTACACTTCTGCACCTTGCGTGCAGATGTTGGATGTTGATATTGCTGTGATCGATGGGAGCTGAAATTGAAGACGTACCTGCGTTCCGGTTGTAGCTGCCTCTTGTTCATGGTAACCTTAAATTTATAAAAATCTGTTCATGTACATTTCGAAAAGATGATGTATTTATTTCATACCAACTTTGTAAATTCTAATCTTAGAAGCTCATGATTTGTACTACCAGTCTTTGGGGAATGTATAAGATTTAGATATTTTCTTTTACTTAATTGTCTTACTAAATTTCATTGGAATTGGATAGTTGTTAACTGGTTTACCTAGCGGGTTGAATTAGGTGCCATCACGACTAGTTGGATTTTGGGTCATGACACTTAATTTGGTCTGGATCTCTTTGTTTTGATGATTTTAGTATAATTTGGTTCTATCACTTTTTCTCTTTTCAAAATGACAAGCCATGCCCCAGAGTTTCAGTTTATAACACGTGTGCCCATCTATTTATATCACATACATTGTATCTCTTTCCCAATTTCAAAATACACAACCATTATGTTTTAATCACAAATTCTCAAACTTTAATTTATTAAATGTCAAGTTTAATTTCAAGTAAAAAGGGTTAATGTTTTATGGGTAGAAAGCAATCTCTCAAACGTGCAAGACATGTTCATCCAATCTCACCATCACCACAAGTTTCTAATTTTGATATGGATATTGAAATTCGGTCTGTTACAATGACGAAGTCTTATATGAAAGATGCTCCAAGTGCGCATGTAATTGAAGCATCATCTTCGGCAAGTGGAACGCAAGCAATTAGTTTGAGACAGACGCGTTCACAAAGGGCTAAGGCACGAGATACTACTAGTTCTTCAAATTCTAAACAACAACAAACTGATGTTTCTCAAACTGATCCAAAAGACCCTTAAGTGGTCATAAAAATGGAAAATCAGCTTCGAATGCATCTGGATCAGTTAGTTTTAGAAGAACACATTTTCAAAGTACTAAGGAATGCGAAATTAGCGGTTCTCCAAATGCCAAGGAACCAAAACTTGATGTTTATCAAAATAATTTCATTCCTACAAAAAAGAAGAAGGTTTGTGAATCCAGTATTCATCACAGATATTATGTCGAATCCCCTTCAAAGGTAAATTTAGGTTCACCTTATTTATTAATAACTACTTCGTATAATGTATACCTATATGATATACTTATATATATGTGTGTGTGTATTTAAATGTAGCTTAGTGCAAGTGATAGTCCGAAACTTGGCATTGACTTCAATTCTGAGATTGTTAACAATTTGAGAACAAAATTATCAACAAGACAACTTGAACTTTTTAAGTCAACTTGCTTTGGCTATTTGTTGGATTTGCCTAGTATAAAACTGCAATCGCAGTTGATATACTCTTTGTTAACGATGGAGGTTGAAAAAGGGAATGGGGCTAAAATGGTGTTTCTCATCAATGGGGTTAAGCTATGTTTTAGTTTGTCTTAATTTACTTGTGTGAGCAGATTAAAATGTACCGGTGCTGTACAACTCGATCAACCTATGGGAAAGAATAATCGTTTAATTGGAAAGTACTTTGTGGATTGCCCTTGTGTTGCTAAGAACCATCTTTTGGATTGTTTTCTCACAAAAAGATTTGAGTTTGACAAAGATGTTGTTAAGATGGTAGTGCTATTTGTGATAAACTCGTTCCTCTTTTCTATTAAGAACGTAAAGCTG